AAAGACATAGAGATAAATTATGAAGAACACTATTGAGATTAGATGGAGGAAAAGAAGTATAAATATAAGAATCATCAGCATATAGTTGACTAGAGAAAGAAAAGTTATTAATAATACGAGGTAGTTCAGAAGTATAGAGTATAAATAGAAGAGGGCCAAGGATAGAACCCTGAGGTACTCCGAAAGTAAGAGTAGAGGAGTTAGAAGTAGAATTATTGAGAACAACAGAAGAAAAACGATTACAGAGATAAGAAGAAAACCAAGATAGACAAGAATCAGTAATATTAAAAGAAAGATGCAGCAGTCTCAAGAGAATAGTATGGTCAACAGTATCAAAAGCTGAAGAAAAGTCAAGAGCAAGAAGAAGAGTAAGATTACTATTGTCACTAGAGAGAAGGATATCATTGTGTATTTTAAGTAAAGAAGTTTCAGTACTGTGAGCAGGTCTGAAACCAGATTGAGATACAGGTAGCAAAGAGTTAAAGTCTAAATAGGATGAGAGTTGATTAAAAACAACTTTTTCTATTATTTTAGAGATGAAAGTAATATTAGTATAATTTCTTGGATGTTCAGAAGCATGTTCAGTTTTCTAGAGACACCTATCCACCTAACTTGAAACATTTTTATAGTTTTTTAATTGAGATGTTCTGACTGACTTGCATCAGAACCAGTACAATATCTAAATGACAAGTGAAAAGCGGGTTTTGAAATCATCACGAAAGTTTTTTTCGTTTGTTTCCTGAAGTGAACTTTTAACGCTAAAATAACACGCTAACAGATAGAGTAAACAAAATTTCGAGAATATTTAATATTTAAATAAAAAACAGTGACACATTAAAAAATAAGTGTTGTCACATAAATTGTGACGTTACGGTGAACAAGTTTTTTATTTAAAATGTACGTCGTATTATCATTAGTTACATTGATTAATCCTTAATGAGCATAAGAACTATGTCCGTTTTCTGAAACTTATGGAACATCAACGCGCAACAATAAGAAATAAAACATGCGCGTTTTGGGATGGTTAGCCTCACAACATGCTCCGCGTTCTTTTTTTAATTAACCTCTAAAAAATGTTACATAATGAAGATTGCATAATGATAATATTATTTTCTACACTTGCTCCAAAATACGAGTAGATGTGGCGTATAAAGTTACGAATTAATTTTGTATTTCAGATTTCACTAGAAGCAAGCTTAGCAGCAACAATAATGAAACTGAAATCAATGAACAAAATAAAACAAACTCTCAACATCTCTCTAAAACTGATTCTAAATTTTCCACAAATCCTAAAAATCTTTCCACATCAATCACAACCAATATCAAGTCTGATTCCAATAGTAGAACTCATTCGATTGCCACAACATCAACCACCAGCAACACGACTACTTCAACTTCAGTGACGGCTTCCACCCCAACTCTAACTCACCTGTGGTCTTATGAATGTAAAGAAGTTGCTACTAGGAAGATATACTGCATGACTTGGAACCAAAAAAACAGAAATATTCTTGCTGTTGGTTATGGAAAGCTGAAGGAAAATCATTCAATTAGCGAAAAATCTGTGGAACAAAATGTGAAGAAAAAACATTTTAATAACGCTTTAAATATTCAAAAATCTCGCAATACAACAGCAGCGCATAATGATGCTGCCGCCCTCTCAGCAGCTGATATTTCCCTGACTATGAACGCAAACACCGACGTCAGTAATAATAATAATATATGCGAAGGATTGATATGTTGTTGGTCAATTAAAAATTTAGAGGTTGGTCGGTTGTTTCATTTCCGTCCTTGCTTAAAATTTAACGACATTTCGATTGATAACAAATTTCATCCCATCATTCAGATGATATTACACTTCATCTTCATATGTTTAGTAAGTCAAATAAATACATAAAAGTTGCGGATAGGCCAATCTTATATAACAGTTGTCGTTGTCGGTGGCAGTTAAAAACACAAATTAATTAGTGAATCATTAAATTGCATGTAACAAAGGAGAATTATATAAGGATATATGTAGGCAGTTTACTGTTGTTAAATTAATTGAATTTGTATACATACGAAGCTTTATAAAGCAAACCTGCGCTGAAGATGTTTTGTGAAAAATCGAAATAGGCCTAACTGCAGGATGAATTTGGATAATAATTCTATTTTCAATAAATTGAACAATATCCAGAAAATTCTAGTAAGAATAATTGAAAAGACTAACTTTAAATTGTTTAATGCCAGCAAGTCGGTAGAATTCATAAAATCCTATAAACAATGAACGCCAGAAAGTCCGTAGATTTAATAAATTACTGCATTGATTATGGTCTTTTACTACTTTACCAGCATATATATATATATATATATATATATATATATATATATATATATATATATAATATGATATATATAATATATTTATGCTCCTTGCCATCATCATTTGAAACATCATCTTTAACCTCTCTCTCCACTTTAACCTCCAAACTATATATATATAATATATATATATATATATATGTAATACATAATGCATATTTATAGGCATGCATGTTGTATTATATAATGAAATAATGAATGGCACGTTAAGTTTCCAGAAAGGTTATACCGAACGAACCACCCCGTCGTATCAGTCGATTTCAGCCAATCGCAGCCCAGTTTGTTGGCTGTTAGTATATTTCCAAATTTCATCACTATTTTATCGTTGGCGAACTTATTATTAGAAATTTCTTATGTAAAACAAAATGGAATAAAACAAATATATTATAGTATTTACCCTCACTGTGGTACGATGATAACTTATGTTGTACCTCTTGTACATCAACCAGGCTGGTTTGGATAGCGGTGAAATTTTGATATTTGATGTCTCGAGGGATGACAACTCTCCTGCGCTTAATAATTTGTCAGTCCTTTTTTAATCATTGTCATTAATTTTACTTTAACAATTAAATTCGTCATTTTGTATTGTTGCTGGTGATGATGACGAGACATTAGCGTAACATGACCGTACGACAACTTATCACTGAATCTCAACAGCGCTTATTTCAACTTGTTTCATTCTTCAATGTAACCTGAGAAAATAATTTTCCAATAAATTGTACATGCTTTAATTGGTAAGCTTCCTCTTGTTGCGTACCAACACTTCAAGCACATCGAAGCTGATTTGTTGTGGTAGGATTCCACCAGTTCACTTATTATGAAAACATTAGAACAACTATATTGATGAAATTATTTTTCTAAACCTCATGTATGATATTTTTAACCATCTTTTTAACTTAAAAAATATAGTTCGAGCGCTGAAAAACATTGCGATGCAGTTTGGAGGTTAAAGTGGAGAGATGACGAAGATGATGTGGCTAATGATGATGATGATGACAAAAAAGACGATGTTGCCGATATTCACAACAGTGAGGATAATCTCAATGAAGACGTTAAGGAGGCAGCGCTGAATGGCAAGGAGCATAAACTGGACTTGGAAAGTAAAGCTATATTTTTTCGTAAATGCATTGAAAATGATTAAATTAGTGCTGAAGTTATAATTGAATGAAACCAATGTTATGAATGTTGAAGCATCAAGTATAGAAAATGTGGAAAAGACAATAAACGGTGAGAGCCACAAATACCATGGAAACAGCAAAAGTTTAATATCTGCATCGTCAGATGGCAGGATCATATTGTGGAGTTTGAAATCAAGTTTTCATGGCTTTGGTAAGATGATCGTAAAATGTTTTTTTGAAGAAAGTACTGTAAATTAATTAATTACATATAATTAATTATAAAATGTACCTATTTAGGTACAATTTGGTGTACTTTTAAATAACGCGTGTCGGTAATTAATTATGATAACATCACAATGACCGAACACCGGGAAACTATGAATTAGCATCATTCACGTTTTTAAGTCTTGTACTGTATTTAATCTCTACATGTTTCCATGCAGATTTAATGAAAATTAAGAGAATCCCATCATGCAAACAACCAAAAAACGTGGCATCTGACAGCCACAACCACACCTCAACAGCAAATCCGGCTATCGCTTCGTTCACATCGAAATATGTTGGAGCACTGTGCTTTGATTTTAACCCATTTGATAGAGATGTGTTTGTAACAGCTTTGTTATATCATAACACCTGGAATAGCTAATATTTACAAATTAAAATTTTTGATTTAACTATTTCGCTACTTAATCCAAGCAAATTAAAGTTGTAAAAAAATTTTTATTAACAGACAAGTGTTAAAAATTTTAATAAAATTATGAAATGTCATTCGTAAAGTTTGCAAAAACGATTTTTAAACTTTGAAGCTACTTGATAGGAACAGATGCAGGCCAAGTGCACAAGTGTTCGTGCACGTATAACGACCACGTCCTGCAAACCTACAGCAACGCTCACAAGGTATAAATTGAAAATGTGACGTCTGCTTGCTTTTGAATGTCTTTAACAAATAAAGTTATAAACTTTTCTTCTCTAGCTTATGTTATTTATCTTATTTCACAGCTTACTAATATTAAAATTCTAGTTCGTCTAAAACAAAAAAAATATAAATATTGGACGCATGTGTCTGTGGACAAACACGAGTGACGTGTAGGTGAATCGTTTTTTGCAGGGACCAGTTTATGACGTACGTTGGTCTCCCCTTCACCAAGAGCTTTTTCTAACCGGTTCTGCAGATTGGACGGTCAAATTGTGGCTCCAAAATCACGTCGTCCCACTTGCTTCTTTCACATCTTCATCGGTATGGAAATGTACGCATAATAAATTGTGTTAAAACACACGCCACACTCAAAATTGCATACACACCACACATAGTGGGAATTTCAATATTTGGCCTGAGCCGGGTTTGATTTTATAATAAATTATGTGGTAAATTTTGCAGACTCCGATTCACGGCTTGGCCTGGCATCCAACACTGTTCTCTGTATTTTGTTGCGTAGACGACGACTTTTTAATGATTTGGGATTTCAGCAAGCAATCGTGAGTTTGTAGATATATATTTAATGTTTGATCATGGTAATAGAAAAAAAAATACATAATGTTTTGTTAAATTTTACATATAAATTTTCAATGAAAAAAGATTATCAGATTTGTTTTCGTTTTGTTTAAATGAGATTAAAAGGGTTGTATTTGCTCAAATCGGCTCAAATTTAGTGATTCATTCTTTTCATCATCATTTTTTGAACGATTTTTTTAATTTATATTTCCAGGTTAGATCCTATAGTAAAGCAATTCTTAAATTCAAAAAGCGTTTTAGGGCACGTTAGTAACAAGCTCACTTGTGTAATTTTTGCACTCAATGCTGACTGCCTGATTGTCGGCAGAGAGGGAGGACAACTGAATGTCTTCAAAATAAATTCAACATTAAGCGAAGATGCATTGTCTGGAGGTTGACAATTAAGTAAAATTCAGTTTGTCTTTCAAACTTAGTACCTATTTTTTAATTTTTGTAGATTATGCTGGAGAAAACACTTACATTGAAATGAACGTCGAAAAGAAAATGCAACTTGATAAAAATTTCGTGAAAGAAGCTCTCAAAACACTTTTCCCTCTGACCTTTTGTAACTGAAACATACAAATAAAAAGTTTTTTGTCATTGTGTTAGTTTGCGTCCTACGAACTGAAGTGCTTGTGGAGAAGAACATTCTTTTCGAATCGATAACATTAATGTCAATAAATTTTTCGGATAATTGTTAAAGAATGTTATTTGGTCGGGTTGGTCAGTTGTTGAATTGATGCTGTTTATTTCAATCAAGTTTCGATCTTAGTTTTTATTATAAGCATGAGTTAGTTATGACAAATATGAATGATTTACTCACTGAACTATATTGCTCAGTGGCTTTATTATAACCCTTCCTTCGATTCATATATATAGAAAATTTCATATATAGGAAATTTCTTATTATCGATACATATATCATGTGACAGGGGGGGCCGTAATAATTTTATAATCGTTAATATTTCCGCCATCTTGTTTATTTAAATAAATAAAGTTGCGCAAATTAGTAGTTATTTTTTTTAAAGTTAAAATAAACAAAATTATTAGAACTAGTAGGCAATAGTAAATATTTATTAAATAAAGTAATTTTTATGTAGTTTTGTAGTAATAAAATCGCATTTATATTAATTTTAAAAATGAAAATTAAAAAGTGTTGCATTCCTTCATGCAGAAAAACAAGAACTAAGGAAAGACATCTTCATATGTTAATCATTTTCTATATTATTTTTTCACGTTATTTTGTTACATTAATATCTTTAGTTTAGCGTTTACCTTTTGATTTCATGTCACTTGACAGATTTCCAGTAGATGCTCAAAGGCGCGTAACATATGGGCTCAAGCAATAAGGAATTTAATTAATGCAAATTAAAAATAAATGGAGACCATTGAAACAGTCATTAATTTTTAGTGAAAATTTTGAGTCAGATTGCTATAACAGTTTTGGAAGGAAGTTACTATATGATGCTATACCAACATTGTTGAATATGTCTACTAGATAATTCATTCATTAAAGTTTTTAAAATATAACTTTTACAATTAAATTTGAGTTTTTCACACAGTTTTTATTTATCGATTACCTCACTAACTCACTAAGTCATCATCTAGTCTATTAATTTGCCTTTGTCATTATTGTTAATTTATTTTATTCTTTTATTTATTTTATTATTATTATTTATTTTATTCTATTTAATTTTACTTTTTATGTTTAAACACTTTTTTCTCCGTTTTTTATTTATTTATTGACTTATTCGTTTAGTTTTATACAACTGCCTTGCATGCTGTAACAGTTTTTGCGTCTGTCAGATCCTGATTTTTAAAGAATAATAAAAAAATACAGTTTAGTAGATAACTCGGTTTCTGCTTTGACTACCGACTAAATTAATTTCATCGCTAGTTGAATCAATTTTTTGGTAGGATTCGTATTTTTTATTTATATAGTAATTGCTTTGTATATTTTAGTTGACGCGAAAATAATTTCAAGAGTTATATTTATTAAATATATGCTATATTATTTTGTCGCAAAAAACACTACAGTTTATTTTTTATGTAACCTATATATAATTAACAATTAAACGCTTTTTCATCTATGCTACTCAAAATTATAGTTCTGCGTTATTACGACCCTCCCGGTAGCCCATCGTATTATCGGCGCTACATTCTATATATAGTGTTGATTTCCCATATATGTATAGAAGAGTCTACATAGTATATTCTCCGATTATTGTCTGGAAATTCAGTTCGTCTTTCAATTTCATTCTACGAACTTATTGTTTATTATATTAAGTTTCTGTGGTGCCGTATAGCCTTGTCATCGAATGCTTAGCCCTTAGCAGCGTGATTCCGATTTTGGTTTTTTATTTACAATTTTTTACACAATTCGCGATGATTTTCGGGCAAGTAGTTATCGGACCGCCTGGCTCTGGTAAAACTACGTACTGCAAGGCCATGCAAGAATTCATGAAAGGTTTTTTATTTTTTCCAATTTCAATTTGAACTTTTTAATTAATAATATAAATAAATATAAAATAAATTAAAATATTTATTTAATTAATAATTTATTAATAATATTATTAACCTCTTCTTTTGCTATTTCTTAATTTCCACTTTATGACTTTAGCAGCTAAAGCTAAAGTTTAGCTTTAGTTAGTTTTTAAGGCTTTATTTCACGTTCCTAGTTTCCTCCAGTTGTTACTCGACTAGAGTTATTTTATTAGTTATTAGTACTTCAACATCTGCAAGAGAAGTTATGGCACTGTTTCCACTTTGTTTGACATGACCAAACCACCGCAGACAGTGTTGCCGGCATTCATCCTTTATATCATCTAAACAAGATTTTGGTAGATTTGATGTGGTCCTTCAGACTAATTCGTTACATCCATAGGAGCATTTTCATGTTGGTTTGTTGAAGTTGTTGTTCCAGTTTGGTTGTCATTGGCCAGAGTCTCAGGTTACTTGCTCAAATGACTGAGCTTGGATACAAAAGGAATAAAATAAAAATTAAACTATTGATGTCACCATGCTTTGGTGGAGAACAGTCTAAGATATCAGCACTCATTTTGAAATAGGTTCTTGTAGCACTAATAGTTCTTTTTGTTGTTTCTTTAAAGTTAAAACTACGAAAATAAATACCGATATATAAATGCAATAATTTAATAATTTTCACTTTAGAGAATTTTTTCATTATTGATTATTTTCATTACTATTGCTACACTTTAGGTTTAGGCAGAAATGTGGAGATTATCAACATGGATCCAGGAAATGACAGTTTGCCATACAAATGTATAGTAGATGTTTCCGATTTAATAACAGTGAATGATGCAATGAGTTACATGAAGCTGGGTCCAAATGGAGGGCTAGTTTATTGTATGGAATATCTTGAAAAAAATATAGATTGGCTGATTGATCAAATAAAGCATTTACCAGACAAGCATTTTGTGCTATTTGATTGCCCTGGACAGGTTATTAGCTTGTATGATATTATTGTTGTGCAAATTTCATACAAAATTAAATTGAACTATTATCGTTTATGAATTTTTTCCATTCAATTACTTCAGATAGAGTTTTACACTCACCATCAATCAATAAACAACATTTTCCAAACTCTGACGAAGAGCAAAAGAATTTCATTATGTGCCGTTTATTTGGTGGACTCTCATTATTGCACTGACCCTTGTCAGTTCATCTCTGTGTTGATAGCTTCATTGGGAGCCATGCTAAGAATTGAATTACCACACATTAATGTTCTATCAAAGGTTGATATAATTGAAAAACAGGCTTCTTTACTTTTCAATTTGGATTTTTTCACAGAAGTCCTCGATTTAAAAAAGCTGCTGGATTACGTACCTGTGAGTTTTTTCAATGATTCTCAATGAAAATCATCAAAATTATCTTTAAAATTAATTCATGCAATAAATCAGGTTTTAACGTTTAAATGTTTCTCACTAAAGCATGTTTAAAATTAAATTTGCTTGAATCTGTATCGGTTGAATTTTAGGATGTATATTTTGGTAATTAAAATATTTGCCGTAATTAAATAAATAAATAATAAATGTGTGAAACTATATAAAATATAAAAAAAATGTATTTTTCCTCAGAGTGATCCATTCATAGCAAAATACAAAAAATTAAATAACTGTTTAGCTGGTATGATTGAGGACTATAGCCTGGTATCATTCTTAGCCCTACATGTTGAAGTTAGTAACATGTTTAATTTTTGTTCTATTTGCTTTTGATGTTTGTATTACAGATATAACTTGATTTATTGATTCATTATTTTATAGGACAGATACAGCATGCTTCGTGTGATGAAAGCAGCAGACAAGGCGTGTGGTTATTTGTTTGGCAGTGAAGATGAACGTACCATTGACAAATTGTTTTCACATGCTATGGCCGCTGAATTTGATTATGAAAAAATTGCGTCGCTTCAAGAAAAATATGTTTGTAATTCCACGAAACCAATATCTGAGGATGACTTGTAGAAGAAAATAATAATGGACATTATATCATACCAACATAATAGTTTAGTAAATGGTAAAATTCGACCGAGCTATAACGTTCAGTTCGCGACCTTTATTAAACGTAATGACAGTTGCGATTAGTGTTGCGTGTTGCAGATATTTTTGTGAAAATTTGCCTTGTTTATCTTCACAATTAAACCCTTCAGCTGAAGAATTTGTTATTGATCACGTGAATCCTGATTTTAAACTTATTTAACCTAATATATTTATGTTATTTTATAATAATCAGGAAAAAGATTTGGTTGTCTGTTTTAATGATCATTTTTTGTTACAGATCGAAGAATTTAAGGTCTTATAAAATTATCGCGTATAAGCGGTTCAATGAAGTAACCGTTTATATTATAAAATAGTCTGATGTCATATATGTAGAATAACATATAGGAAATTCCTTATTATCGTAACGTATACCATGTAAAAGATGCCCGTAATAATTTTGTGATTTTTGACCATGTAGATTTTTTATAATCGCTAGGTTTCTAAAAATTTGTTTGAAGTATACGATTTTATTTTTTTATTATTAAATTCTTTTTGTGTTTTCATACATTCTAATTAACGTCAATATAATTTCAGAATTTATATTCTATAGATATGCTATATCAATTTGTTGTGAAAAACACTACAGTCTATCATTTTGCACAACGTATAAATAAATGGTTAAAATTTAAACACTTGTCAAACTACGCCAATCAATCAATCAATTAGCTTATAAAGCGCTATTTCCGCGATGTTCTGAACTTCGCAAGTGATGGAGAAGTAGTCAGAGAAGAAGGTAGAGAGTTCCAGAGAAAAGGACCAGAAAAAGCAAAAGCAGATTTGGCAAAAGAGTGTTTAACACGAGTTAAGAAAAAGCGAGAAGACGATCGTAAACCGGGGCTTTTAGGTTCAATTAATATATCTGATAAATACAATTCACAATTATAGTTCTGAGTCATTACAAATGGCTGATTTCCCACATATGTATATTCTATGTATATGTCTAATGTCAAAACAGACAAAATCTCGCGCCATTTGCTATCTGCGTACAACCAGAACGGCTAGAAAACCTGCTACGAATATTATCCATTCCAATAATCCAAAATTGAAATTCATATCTAAAAAGTCAAAGATTCATCTTACGAGATAAAAAGTTCTAGGTAAATTCAAGTTTAAATGAGTGCTTTCCCGTCACCGATAAAATTAAAATACTTGAACGAATCGTAATATCATAATTTTTCTTCCCGTATTCGTAAAGGTGTTGAAAATTTTATTCTGAAAACAACAACGTAAGCAAAAAATCATTTTCAGCGCCTACGTATTTTTTGCATTTCGGTTACAGCTTTAAAATATTATTTTAAAAATTACTGTTTTGCACAAGCATAGTTTCGAAAACGAACCGCAAGTATCTACAACGAATGTACGATTGAGTTCTAAACCGAAGTAAACATTTCCGTTTCTGTCACCGCACCATCACATCTGCTTTACCTTCGATCAGTTAAATTTGGCGTCCATAAAAAAAATCTGTAATTAGATCAATAATTGTAATGATATGCTTATTACGTCTAGCAGCTTTAATCACCAAACACATTTGCTGCTTCAAATTACAAACATTAGAATAAATTTAAAATGCACACAAACATTGCACTGCACAGTTTATTCACTAGGGTCTCCTTGATGTAAGACACATCTGTGGCGAATGTAAGCATACACGTGTACATAAAATTACGCTACACATGTAGAAGACGTTCATATAATATGCATGCAAACACATGCTACCGTAGAGTGTGCATACGTTCGAGTACGCAGATAATTCAGAATAAATACAACTCAGCTGAACTAGGTCAGGCTACTTGTCTGTGCTGCTGTTTGTCTGTTTTTTCTGTTTATCCGTTGGTGAACTACTACGTGCACCTTTTTTCTTTCCACATGAAACAAACTCTCATTTTTGTTGTTGAATGTAGTCAGTATAGTTTTTGTATGTAGTTGACTTATTAAGAAAAAAATATTAAAATTATTTTTTATAACAGCACCTATATAAGATATATCACTGGTTTGATGTGTTAATTGATCGCAACAAATAACTTGATGATGGTTTGCATTTGCCATGTGAACGAATCTGAAGCGTTTAACTGTTATAAATCGTTTGATGTAATAATAGAAAAGAAACTATTGATTGTCAACAATGTGCAACGAAAGGCCCAATTAAACCTAGCATCGAATTGGTTAAAAAGCAATAAAATTATCTATTCAAATTTGTCATTGCAAATATTTTAATTTTCGAATGTCATAACCTTGAGGTAAAAAATATTTTAGCACATTAGAAAATCTTAAATCCAATCTACATTATTTGTGCTTTTTATTACATTTTACCTGGATGAGACTTATTATATATGTTGATTTGACCTGCCTGGTTCGCTGAATCGTTCATGTTTGTTTGTTTATTGCCCACGTTTCTTCCGCTGGACAACATTTAATGATTTTGGAATGAACGACTAACTAAACTAACGAATCTTACTAAACGGAAAACAAAGTAAATCAGCACAAAAAAGAAATGTTAGATAATAATTGGTAACACATACAGAACTATTTTCTAAAGCAAAGATTATTTAGCGTCAATAATAGGAACATATTAACGAGACATTGTATCATATAAAACGAAGAAGGGATGAACCACGCCAAAATTGTTATTCACACATGCATCCTCGTCTTACAATTACAAGCGGCACGCTTGTAGAATGAATATATGTAGAATGAATGTGAAATGAATGCGTGTTATCTGCATCATACGATTGCTATGATGAATTGGCTGGAATGTGTTATATATGGCGGTGATACAGACGTGCTTGTACACTTCAGTGAATTAAACAAAAATTGAAATAAAATTGATCTGAACGTTGACCCGGAAGAGTTTGCGTCATAATATTCTACTTTTTAGCTTTCGCTAATTACCTAAATCCTGGCTATTTGTAACTTTCTTGCATCAATTAGAATGGATGTGCAATGTCCATTACAATGCAACGCTGCTTTCAATATGTTACTCCTCTCGCTTCCAGTAAAAAAAAAGAGAAAATACGATAGGGCAATACCAGTACAAAATACAAATTTAAAAACATGAATAAATAATAGGAATGCATATTTAAGTACAAATAGACACGTTTTTAAAGTAAGAATTACACGAATATAAGAAAAAATATTAACATTATACATGCTTGCACAATAAATGCACAAGAATTTTGTAAATTGCAACAAAAATGAGAAATGGAATAAAAAAATGTCAAATAATCTTTTCAGATAAAAACATCATGTGCTTTACATCTTATTCGTGGGATCCACATCGTCTTCTAGGTTTTGGCTTGCTGACTTACTTTTTTTGGTTTCATTACATTATAGACATAAATACTTTCAATAATCGGCATAAGATCTTGTAACGTATTTTGGGCAATAAGGAATGTTCAAATAACCACTATTTGCGGTCTATTGAAAACAGTTTACATCGTTTACTAATTAAGTCGTTTTGTATGTTTTGTTCCTATTTGCCATTGTATGTTCACGTGACTTCCATAATAATAAGAGAGCATCAGCCGAAATATTATAAAAAAAACCGATATGCAATCTAAATTGAGCCTTTCAAAATGTTTATTGAATGTTTTGGTTTTGAAAGCATTATCTTTACCTCCTACGCAAATATTCAAAAATTTATGGTACTCAAAAGAGAATAACCATTAAACAAGTCTATAAACCTATGTATAACGAATGTCTCACCACCAAAATGTTTAGATTATTATTATTACTATTATCAAGTATTATTAAATTATTTAATTGAAATTGATTTTTTTATCGCAATCAATCGGAGTACCAAACACGACTAATTTAAAACAAATCGCTGAATGCGAAACATCGTATTGCAGCGTGTGAACTCGACGTTTCAAACAAAAAGGTATGTAACAATACGTTCGCACGTAAAAAATTTACTTGGATCTTCCAATAGATTCTTAAATTTACAAACACATGGATGAACAACAGCACGTATTCGGAGATGCCTATAATATTTCACGCAATACCCACTGAATAGCACAGTATATATCAGCTGTAACGACGATGATGATGATAACGATCCGAAACTTCAGCCAATCGTTTCAAACTAGGTCATTGTGTCTGCATTTTAGAGTTTAAAAAATCGGGGTCACTCGGTCTAGTCTGATATTTACAAGGGAAAAATGACCTATTTCAACGTCTATTTGGGTCATAAAAGAAGAGGATGACGAGAATGATACTGAATCGTAATTATGTACTTTTAATTTATAATAAAGGTCGCTTTGCAAACGATTGCACTGTTAACTGCATCTTATATATAGCGCAAGTATATGCATCACTTCACTTGTATATTACGTACTACTTACTACTACTACTACTACTGAATGTTAAGTAAACCTTGTTATGGGTTATTGTTAATTACGGACAACCGATTTGGCAACGAGTTTCGTCACGTTTACAACGCAGATTAGAATAGGAGACCATCCGACGATCGATTGCCAAATAATTTCATTGAATTTTAATTAAGCCGAAAAAATATTTATCTAAAATTTCATTATATGTAAAATATGAATTATAATAAAAGTTAATTACCTACCTGATTGATATCAGTAGCTACATGTAGTAATCAGAAGTTACGTTTTCATTTGTTGAAATATGAAATAAAAATTAATCTTGTATTCCTCTGACTGAATGAAATGATCCGCAATTCTTTGGGGCTGATGTTATTAACCGAAGGTGAAAATTTTAAATTAGTCGTTTATTTTTTTTTATAATTATAATTGTTCATTATTGTTAGTTTAGATTGATCTGGTCACAACATTTTACACTTTAATTTGTTTATTTTTAATAAATAAATATTAATTTAATTATTTCTCCAAATACTTCAATAAGTTTAGTTTCGTAAAGTGATAATTATTTATTTATTTATCGTTATCCAGTAAAAGAAAAAA